TCGCAAGGAGTCTTACTGAACATTATATAATGTATTGTGAAGGAAGATAATTTAAAATTAACAGCAAGCATTCAGAACTTATCTGGAAGATTAATTGGGTTTTTAATTTTGGCCAACAGAAATCGGACTAACGTGTGAATACGCGAATGACATCATGACGATAGTGCTAATATTAACTTAATTCGATTTCCTAGTTCATTATAACAAAAACTTGAGTAAATGAAGTTGATTAAATGATCCGTTCATCAAAGTTTAATTACATGGCATATTTCTACCCAAATTAGTAATGACAAATCATTATTTTTAATAAACACTTCACATGTCATTATTCATATTTTATTAGAGTATAATATTGGAGAACGCATTCTAACATAAAAATCTCTAAACTTGAATGATAAATCATGTAATCTAAATGAATGAAAAGAATTCCGTGCAGAATATTAATAAAATAAATAAATACTGCATATAAGTTTATACATGAAGAAAATAAAAAACATTACCAAATTTAGGCGGTTATGATCATTCATAAAAAGACCGTCTAAAGAAACATCTCGACATCGTCCTTTTTTTCTCAGAACAAATTCAACCTGCGTTGCGATGTTTTTCAATATTTATCCAACAAATGTTCATTGTTCGAATGTTTCTAATTTATTTTTCGTCGACTCTATTAAATAAAAATATGAATAAGAAAATTCCTTTCACGAACGTTAAAAAGAACTAGAAAAAAATTTTTTTATTATACCTTTTTTTTTTCACTACTGCCGAATTATTTTTTCTAGGTTTATCTTGACCAGCGGATTCGACGACTTTACATTTTTAATTTTTTTCCTGCAAAGAATTCACTCCATTTTCATTTTTTATAATCATTTTAATGTCTATTAAATTTGAAATTCATAAAAAAGTATGAAATTTTTTGTGACACAGAGAATGATTTCATGACTGTAAATCAGATAACGGTTGTATGGGATAATCTTTTTTTTTATTCTAGATTGGATAATCTTTTTTTTATTCTATAAATTATTCCCACAGAAAAATTTCTTTTTACCCTACAAAATCTCATTTCTTACTCTTTTTTAACTTTCAACTCTTTAAATTCTTAACTTCGAGCAAGTGCTAAATATTTAAGTTAATAAATATACCGTAGCTCTAACGATGATGGAAAATAAGTAAGTTTTCATTTAATTTCATGATGAATATTTATTACCAAACGGTATATATTAAGTCTAGAAGAGTACTTGTTTTTTGTTTGGATTATCAACTTGACTTGCTTTTATGAAGCGAAAGTACTATTCTACGTTTGATATACTCGTAAAAATAAAAAAAAACAACTTTCACTAGGATTTATATCTAACAAATTTTATTTTGTTTCTTTTTAAAAAAATTAGATTATCATCTGTGGAAACCTACCACTCAACAAGGACTATTGAAAAGGATTCAATATGGAATAGAAAAATGCGAACCCCCATGATGGCACTGCAAATTATGAGGTTGATATGGTTTGAAGCGCACAACAATATAGAAGCGCAAAATAATCATGGATAATCTTGGGGGCAAAGATAAATTTTTAGATCCTTATATTGATCTAAAAAGTTAGTTTAAGAGTGATGCTTACAGCATCGGTGTAATTTTATGGGAGATATCAAGTGGTAGTTACATCGAGGCGAAAACTGCGATATTCTTATGGTAGAGATTCACAGAAACAATTTAAATTTTATGTAAATAGGACATCATTTTGGGCGCAAGTGGAAGCAAGAATTGTTTATAGAAGCTCACTTGTTTTAAAGTGGTGGATAAATACTAAACCTTTAGTTTATGATTATTCTTTAATTAATATTTGTTAGTTTCAAGTTTATGATTATACTATTTTGTTTATAATTAACACTTTTCCGTGTTGATAAAAAAAATCTTACGTTTTTTTTTTATAGTCTTTCTTCTTCACCTACATTGAAATGATAAGAAAATTTTCTCATCATTGTTGAAAATTTTCCTATCAAAAATTTATATAAATAATATCACCTTTTCACACTATTCTTTGAAATAAAACTTCTCAAAAAAAAATAAAATAAAATAAAATAAATTTATTTCTTTACAAAATGACCGTTTCGAAAACCCTACTAAAACTTCAAAAAAGGTTACCAACTCACAACAAACGCCTAACACAACACCAAAACCAGCTGTTGAAGAAGTTGTAACCTCGTCAAGCGAAGCCAACACTGAAAAAGAAAAATCAAATAAAGGAACATATCGAAAAGTGGTGTCTGGTTCCATTGACTCTTTAAAAGAAAGATGTGGGTTATTGATTCTGAAACGGAAAGGCTTGTTTCCAGGTAATTTTTTTTTTTGAAGTTTATAAATGCTTTCAAACACGTCATTCTCATGTGCCTTTCTTCTCACAGAGAAATTACCTACGTACCTGCATTATATAAAATAGTGGATGAAATCTTTGTAAATGCTGTTG